CCCCCAAATACGCAACGGAGCATGAGATTGTATGAGTAGGGTACGGGCAGTTTCAATAAGATGTTTATTCTTTCTTTCAGCTACCCCATTTTGTTGAGATGTGTACGGACAAGATGTTTGATGAATAATCCCATGAGATTTCATAAACTGCTGAAATGGGGAAGACAAATACTCTCGGGCATTATCACTACGAAATGTGCGAATAGAAACCCCAAATTGATTTTGAATTTCAGTGTGGAAGGTATGGAAAATAGAAAACAGCTCAGATCGATATTTTTATCAAAAATATCCAAGTGCACCTGGAATAATCATCAATGAAACTGACAAAGTAGCGGAATCCCAAGGTGGAACTGACCCGACTAGGACCCCAAACATCTGAATGGACTAAAGTAAAAGGTGACTCTGCTCGATTATCAAGACGCCGAGGGAAATGGGAGCGAGTATGCTTACCGAGCTGACATGACTCACACTCTAGAGCTAACAAGTGAGATAAACCAGATATCATTTTCTGAAGTTTTGACAAACTGGGATGTCCCAACCGTTTGTGTAATAAATCTGGTGAATCAGTAACATGACAAGTTGTAGAAGGAAGACAAGATGTGAGTCCATGTGATTTAGCAACGATAAGGTAATAAAGTCCGTTTGATTCACGCCCGGTACGAATGATCCGCCCTGTACTGTGTTTCTGTATAAAAACAAGGTCATCAAGAAATAAAACAACGCATTTAAATGATTTGGCTAAGCGACTAACAACTATGAGATTAAAAGGACTATTGGGAACATAAAGGACTGAATATAAAGGTAAGGAAGGAAGTAGGCGTGCTTGACCTATTGCAGTTGCCATGGTTTGAGACCCATTGACCATTGTGAATTTTGGAAGAGATTGAGAATACGAAATAGTAGTGAAAAGAGATTTGTTACCAGAAATATGATCTGATTTACCTGAATCAATGACCCAAGACTTAGAGGATGAAGATTGGGAGAAACAAGTCACGCTATTACCTGTTTGAACAACAGAAGCTATCTCAGAAGATGTCTGCTTACATGCTTTGTACTGAAGGAACTCAATATGAAGGAACTCAATATAATTTGCTAAAGAAACCATCCGACTATTCAAAGCATCGGTTCCCATGTCGCTACGAGATGTCTGCTTACATGCTTTGTACTGAAGGAACTCAATATAATCTGCTAAAGAAACCATCCGACTATTCAAAGCATCGGTTCCCATGTCACTACAATTTGTAGTAGTAGGGTTAACTTGAAATAGTGAAAATAAGTAACTCCTGTGAAAAAACTGAAGAAAAAAACTTGAAAAACACTGTTTACAGCAGGAAAACAGAACGTTGTTCTGCGCCGGAAGCACTGTTCACGCTGGAAACACTGTAGCTCGCCGGAATCTACTGTAGTTGACGGAAAAACTCAAAGTGATCGGAATGAAACAAAACCAGTGAGGGTGGAATCGGAATTACCAGGCGATCCTACTGTTCAACTGGAACTTTTTCAAAATTTGGTCGGAACAGTGCTCACGCGCCGGCGCGTGGGTCAGATCTCGTCGGAATTTTGTTTTTCCAAGCGCGTGAGGGCCCGTGGACGTGTGTTTTCAGGTGCGGTTGACTGAGGTTTGGTCGCCGGAGCCTGAGGAGTCTTATGGTGGTGTTGGTTTTTGCACAACACCAACAAAAAGTGATTTGCTTACGGACAGCCTTCTAAGTCGCCGGAAAATTGCACGGCGAAGAGGTCTTTCTTCCCGGAAGTCGCTGGAATGATGCACAACGACGGATTTCTCACTAATGCTCTGATACTATGTGAGAAAGCAATAACAACAACAACGACCCAGGAAAATCCCACTAGTGGGGTCTGGGGAGGGTAGTGTGTACGCAGACCTTACCCCTATCCCGAGGAGTAGAGAGGCTGTCTCCGAAAGACCCTCGACTCAAGAAGAAGAAAAGAAAAGAAAAGAAAAGAAGAGAAAAGAGACAATATCAGTACCACCAACAGATACCATAAGAAAAAATTAACAACATCATGAAAGCCAGAAAATAGGTGCAGAGCAAAAGCGGTAACCATTAAATAGAGTCGGCTCTATGAAAAACAAAAGAGTAGTAAGACACAACATTGCCACTAGCTGTCTCAGACAAAAACCCTACCAAGCTAGCCTCACAAATGTACGAACTAAGGAAAGACTCAACTACCTCCTAACCTACAACCCTAATACTCGACCTCCACAGCTCCCTATCAAGGGCCATGTCCTCGGAAATCTGAAGCCTTGCTATGTCATGCCTGATTACCTCTCCCCAATACTTTTTAGGCCGCCCTCTACCTCTTCTCGAGCCTTCCAAGGCCAGCCGCTCACACCTCCTTACCGGAGCGTCTGGGCTTCTCCTCTGAACGTGCCCGAACCATCTAAGCCTCGCTTCCCGCATCTTGTTATCAATGGGAGCCACGCCCACCTTCTCTCGAATATCATCATTCCTGATCTTATCCATCCTAGTGTGCCCGCACATCCACCTCAACATCCTCATCTCTGCTACTTTCATCTTCTGGATATGTGAGTTCTTAACAGGTCAACACTCAGCCCCATACATCATGGCCGGTCTAACCACCGCTCTATAAAACTTACCTTTGAGTATCGGTGGCACTCTCTTGTCACACAGGACTCCAGATGCTAACCTCCACTTCATTCACCCCACTCCAATACGGTGTGTGACATCCTCGTCGATCTCCCCTCCCCCTTGAATAACCGATCGAAGGTACTTGAAACTGCCTCTACTCGGGATGACCTGTGATTCAAGCCTTACATCCACGTCCACTTCCCTCGACTCATCGCTGAACTTGCACTCCAGGTATTCCGTCTTTGTCCTGCTCAGCTTGAAACCCTTAGACTCAAGAGCTTGTCTCTAGGCCTCCAGCCTCTCGTTAACACCGGCTCGCGACTCATCAATCAGAACTATGTCATCAGCGAATAACATACACCATGGCACCTCCCCTTGAATATGATGTGTTAACGCGTCCATCACCAGGGCAAATAAGAACGGGCTGAGCACAGAACCTTGGTGCAATCCCATAACAACCGGGAAATGCTCAGAGTCGCCTCCTACTGTCCTAACCCGAGTCTTAGTCCCATGTGAGAAAGCACGGGAGAAAATATATTATTGATATTGGATAATAAATACAATACACGATGTCGCTATTTATAGCTATACACTACAAGGAGATATTACTCCTCTTCCAATGTGGGACAAGACTACACTATACATATCTGTAAACTAACAGTTGCGTTTGACTTGGTGGGACTACATATTTTGCCTAAATCCATCAGTTGCTAAGCTAATCCTTACTGTAAACGTATGTCGGTCTTATGATAATTCAGGTATGATTCCTCTTGCATGGGAGAGTGTACATCAAAAGTTAAAAGAACATGATTTGATTCTAAGCGTGAAATTTGATAATAATAATCTTGCTACAGAAGATTGAGAGGAACTATCTGAATATCAACAGAAGAAAAGTCTTATCTCAGATTTAGAGTATGGGAGGGTGTAAAATCAATTAGTTTAGTACTATAGATTTTGATATTTTTTGCCCTTGAAAATGGCATAAGAGAAACATTTGCTCCATTGTTAATTCATTCTTTTTTAGGTTGAACAGTTTTCTTGTGGTTTTCTCTCTAATATTAGTCTACATCAAACTAATCAAATTGGATCACAATCTGACAAAACATGTCTACTTCATTTTTTTCCAACAAGCTCAACTCCTCAGCAATCCAACACAGCTTCTAGGTGGAGCTACAGCATACTGATTCTGGTGAGTTTTGATAGAAAACTGAGACTTATTCTTTTACTTTTAGCAGGTAAACTTTGTACATTATCTGGTGATTTGTGATTGAAAGACTGAAAGGCTTATACTTTTAAGTTTACAACTCGTTACAAATCCAACACAGCTTCTAATTTGAGCGACAGTATACTGATTTTGGTGACTTTTGATTGAATATAGATATTTCGAGAATGTATGTAATACTGAAAGATCTGAAAACTTTGATACTTTAAGAAGTAAACTTTCTACGGACTGGTGATATTTTATTGGAACACTGAAAGGCCTATACTTTTAATATGTGAACTTCTTGCTGAGTCTTGTTTACATCTTGTTTACTGCTTTCAGATATATTTATTTGGGGGTTTATGGTGCTGAGTCTCTTCTTTGCCAGGCAACGGCGAGAGATCATTATAAAAATGGAAGAAATAGCTGCCTTGGCTAGAGACAGCGCGCTGAATCATGAGGGCCTCCTGCAATTTATCTAGTAGATCTGCTGGAGTTAAGCATTCTTCGCCTTGTTCTTTGGTGTGTTTCTAAGCTTTAATCCCTATCAGAATTGTTTATGATCCTATCAAATATATGTAAGATTTACTTCTGGTTATGGTTTTGTGCAGGTAAGACGGTTCGAAACATGGTTTCATAGAGAAGTTATTGTGAAGTGATATGGTTAAACATCGAAGTGTAATTTGATATCTCCTAATTATTGTGCAATATTTGTGCTCTATTTCAGCTAATTACTAGAGGGATTCTGTAGTTTAGTTAAACTTTCCTCTCATACTTGTTATGTTCTAAGGATTAGTTGGCTCTAATTTATTGTTGTATGTATTTTGAGTTAGGTATGAACAATGAAGGTGTTACATTGTTGTGTTGTATTGCCTTTGAAGACTTTGATCATTTAATGTAACTATTTTTTGTGCGTGTGAATTCATTAATATAGTTTAACGGAGAGTGCGAAAGGAAAATGATGCTTCAACTTTTAACTATATTTATATTTCTTTGATTTTTTCATGATGGTGGTGTCCGGGTCAGCTTGCATGCACCTCGATTAATTCACCGGGTACTTTACTACCTCCCACCAGAATAGGTACATAGTAACTCTACACAACATCAAGACTTGTTCAGATAGGAAGAAATCACCTCATATTTTTTTACATACAAATAACAAGAATCATAAAATCCTCTTCTCGCAAACTTATAACTATCAAGCCTTTTAAATGTTTTGGTATAGACATCATTCTTTACTTCACTTTGTTTTGTGCTAGGGGATAAGGGAGGAGAATATTGGAATTTATCCCTTCATCTTTTAATGTGTGAAAGTACTTTCGGGACATCCCACTAAAAAATCTCAATCAAAAGTGTGAAAATATGAAAATTGTAGTTTGACAGGGAAAACTTCTCTATTATAAAAGTATTTTCTTCTTTAAAGAGAAAATGTGTTGCAACTTGCAACTTCTAATAAATTTGAGTAGTAGACCATCCAAGGAAAGTCAAAATTTCTAAAAGTCATTAGTGCCAAAAAGAGGTGGATAAAGAAAAAGCTAAGTAGCAAACAACTCCCATTTCCTTGATAAAGTACTTGAAAATCATGAAAAATTCTCAAGTCTTTATTCATTCTGTTTCTTGTCCTTATTTTAAAGACTGGAATTTTAAGCCTTTATTTTATGGTATGATTCAAACATCAAAGGAGAAGCAAACAACTCCCATTTCATCGACATTGCCTAGTTCTGATCCCATTGAAAAGGACACATTTTGCATTGTTTATTTTAAGAGTCATTTTCTCATAGGCCTGATTGAAAATCTCTGAGGTTGACAAATTAAAAGTCAAATTTGGCAGCTTGTTTTAACAACCTTATAGTGCTTTGGCACAGATAGTTGAGCCAAAAGAAGTCTTACAATGTGGTAATAGGAAGCCTTAGAATACCAAAAAATGACCATTAGCAGCAGAAATGTGCAACATTTTGCTCATGTAATTCTTGTTATTCTTCACTGTTTCTATACAGGATTTTGCACAGAAGTAGATAGCATTACTAGCACTCAATCTCTGAGAGATCCTGGGATTTTATCGTCTCCAGATGGCGTCTTCAAGTTGGGATTTTTCAGTCCTCTAAACAGCACTAATAGGTATGTTGGCATATGGTACAATTTTTCTGAAACAATTGTCATTTGGGTGGCTAATAGAGACAAACCTTTAAGTGATTCTTCTGGGGTTGTGGAGATATCTAGCGATGGAAATGTTGTTGTTACGAACGGAGAGGAGGAGATTCTTTGGTCATCAAATACTTCAACAACCTCTCAGGTAAACTCAATTGCCTTTCTCCAAGAATCTGGTAACTTTGTTCTGGTAGATCGTCTGAACAATGCGACCACAATATGGCAAAGTTTTGAACATCCTTCTGATTCACTTGTCCCTGAAATGAGAATAAGTGAAAACACTAGGACAGGCGAAAGGATAGAAGTAAAATCTTGGAGAAGCCCTTGGGATCCTGCTTTTGGAAACTTTTCTTTAGGCATGAAATCTGAAATCATTCCTCAGGTATATATTTGGAATGGTAACCGTCCCTATTGGCGAAGTGGTCAATGGAATGGCCAGATTTTCATTGGAGTTCAGGATATGTATTCTGTGTCCGTTGATGGATTTAGTGTAGTGAATGATCGCGAAGGTACTGTATATCTTACTGGACCTGTTGGTTTTAATTTCTTAACGAAATTCATCTTGGATTGGAAAGGAAACATAGTTCAATCATTTTGGGACGAGAATGGGACAAATTGGAAGGTATTATGGTCAGCTCCCAATAATGATTGTGAAGTTTATGGAACGTGTGGTCCATTTGGGAGCTGCAACTATTTGGAGTCTCCGATTTGTTCTTGTCTGAAAGGTTTCGAGCCAAAGCATAGGGAAGAATGGGAAAAGGGGAATTGGACTAGCGGTTGTGTTAGGAGGAGAGCTTTGCAATGTGAAGTGAAGAATAACTTAGGGAATTCAAGTAAAGAAGATGGATTTCTAAAGATGGAGTTCATGAAATTGCCTGATTTTGCAGAGAGGTCATCTACTGCAGAAGACCAATGTAGAAGCCAATGCTTGCGTAGTTGTTCCTGCACTGCGTATGCATATGACTCAGGTATCGGCTGTATGTCGTGGAGTAACAACTTGATTGACATTCAGCGGTTCCAAAGCTGGGGGAAAGATCTCTATATTCGCATGGCACATTCAGAGCTTGGTATGTATTCTGGTGCTCAATATCCTCTCAGCCCATTTTAGTTAGGGAGAATGACACAAATAGGATACTTTTGTGTCACTCTTATTTTTTGACCCCGGTAATAATAGTTTTGGGAAAATATCCTGGTGCCTGATTTTAAAGCATGCATGCAAGAAATCCAGCAAGTTATGGTGATTGTCAGGATTTATGGCAAATCCTGACGATCACCAGAATTTTCAGCCACATTGTTGAAAAAATCTGGTGTTCGTCAGTAATTTTCCACAAATCCTGACAGATTGCCAGAATTTTTTCACCATTGTGGCTGAATCCTGGTGCTTCAAAATTCTGGCAATTGCCAGAACCGCTTCCCAAAATTCTGACCAGCTTGCTTCAAAATTCTGGCCGGAGGTTATTTCCCCACGACTTTTCTTAAGGGGGTCAAAAGTTCCATGCAGCATAATCCTTTTCCAGCCATTGTAGCTTAATCTATCATTTAAGATGCCATTGACTTAATAGAATTCCATGTATATACTTTTAAGTTTGTGGCTTCAGTAAAGAACTGATACTGGTTCACCTTTTGTGTTTGCTCTACATTGCAGATCATCATAAAGACATAAAGAAAATTGTAATTCCAGTAATCGTTGGTACTCTTACACTCTGTGCTTGTCTGCTCCTTTTCTGTATAAGGATGGTCAGACGTAGAGGTAAAAAAGACTAAAAAGTTTGTATTATACAATTAGAAACATTTTGTTAGCTGCAGTTAACTTGTATCCCTTCTGATATTAGGAGTGAAGAGCAAGGAGGTAGTTTTACTTGGTAACAGAATGGAAGAATTACCAGTCTTCAACTTCGAAACGCTTGCAAATGCAACAGCCCGATTTTGTGAGAATAATAAGCTTGGTCAGGGCGGTTTTGGTCCAGTTTACAGGGTACGATTTTCATCTCTCTCGATCACTTTCCAAATTTCAGTAGCTGAAATTGGTACTTGCCTTTCAGGGAAAATTGGAAGATGGGAAAGAAATAGCAGTCAAGAGGCTTTCAAAAGCCTCCGGACAAGGGCTAGAAGAGTTCATGAATGAAGTGTTGGTGATCTCTAAAGTCCAACATAGAAACCTTGTTAGACTCTTGGGATGTTTTGTGGATAAAGAGGAGAAGATGTTAATTTATGAATATTTGCCAAAGAAAAGCTTGGATGTGTTTCTCTTTGGTTAGTAGTTACTCTTCAAATCTTTTTACTTCTCGTACGCGGTTCTTAAATGAAGGGGAGCCTAGGCGTAACTGCTAAAGTTGCTGCTATGTGACCAGAAGGTCACGGGTTTGAGACGTGGAAACAGCCTCTTGCAGAAATGTAGGTTAAGGCTGCGTACAATAGACCTTTGTGGTCCGGTCCTTCCTCGGACCCCGCGCATAGCGGGAGCTAAATGCAACACCTTTCGTACGCAGTTCTTAATCTTCTTCTCAGCATTCTCTATTCATCTTTTACAAACATTCTTAGATGAAGTATACCAAGGAGTTTTGGATTGGAGGAAACGCTCCATTATCATCGAAGGGGTTGGCCGAGGACTCCTTTATCTTCACAGAGATTCAAGATTGAAAATAATCCATAGAGATTTAAAGCCAAGTAACATTTTGCTCGATAACAACTTCAATCCAAAGATTTCAGATTTTGGCATGGCTAGGATTTTCGGATCTGACCAAGATCAAGCAAACACAAAGAGAGTAGTTGGTACTTAGTAAGTGGATATTGATCAATATATACCATAACTTCACATGATTTCTCCCACAAAATGACCATATTCAACATTTACTAACTATTATTTCTGGTTTTTGAAAGGTTATCTGGTTAATGTAACATTTCTATACTAACTCAATGACATTTTTTCAGTGGATACATGGCCCCGGAATATGCAATGGAAGGAAGATTCTCTGAGAAATCGGATGTTTTTAGCTTTGGAGTTTTAGTGTTAGAGATCATAAGTGGCCGAAAAAGTACAAGTTCTTGGAGTGAGACATCCTCTTTGAGCCTTTTGGGATATGTAAGACTCCTCTTATGTGCTAATATTCAAAAAACTAATATATGTCATTGCTATTTGTGCTTCTTTAAATTTGCTGTGTTTTTTTTTTTTTACTGTTTTCAGGCATGGAAGTTGTGGAAAGAAGAAGATTTATCAATTTTTATCGATCCAGTTATATTGAATCCGAGCATGGAAATGGAGATCAGAAAATGCATACAAATTGGTTTACTGTGTGTTCAAGAATTTGCTGAAGACAGGCCAAGTATTTCATCTATTCTTGCCATGCTTACTAGTGAAAATACAAGTCTGCCAACACCCTTACAGCCTGCTTTTACTGAAAGACAAGTTAGTTTCTTCACAGTGTGTAACAAGAATAGAGAAAATGAGTGGAGTTTGAACCATACAAGTATCACAACTCTTACCGGTAGATAACAAGAACATGAATATGTGAAATTACTTTTGTAAGGAATATACAATTTATGAGATTTCATTTGTATAAGTACATGATAATCCATCCATCTCAATTTGTGTGACACTTCTTTTACGGCCAGACCTCTCTATAACAACATGTATATATAATAGTCATTCACTATAAAAGTCATATTTTTTTCGCAACCGATTTTTATATTATGTTATAATGTATGTCCTCTATAACAACACTTCACTATAGCAGCCAAAAAATATCGGAATAAACAAGGTTGTTATAGAGAGATT